AGTGCACTGTCTCTGTGTCTGGAGGTGGCCATCTTTGTAAAGGAAGGTCTTTATATCTTAAGGGCTTGTGCACACCATTTTCTGGTCCAGATCTGCAGACGCGGTGCTATGCGTGCATCACGTTTTTACCGTGTTCCGGTTCCTTTTTTTGTGGAGGTGGGGCAGTCAGCTGTTAACTGCAGTGCGTTTTCGATGGGTTCGTGCACATTCCGGTCCAGAGAAAATGTGACATGCAGTATTTTTTCTGTCCGGAACAAACTGCGCTGATGAGAACTGGAGCCCATAAAACACATAGGGATACATTTTTTTTTTTAGTGCAGGAGCAAACTGTTCTGGTCCGGACATCGTGTGAACAAGCCCTTAGTGTCAAGGCCTCCAAAAACACAAGCACAGTGGTGACACCGCCAAATATTAACTGAAATCCTCTGAAACCACCAGTGCCTTAGTTCTCTTAGAAAGTGCAGTTATTTTATTTATTTTAGATGCAATTTTCCAGACAAGGGTACTGCTTGGGCACATTTAACATATTAAATTGTACTTCTATAACATAGCAAATATGGGTTCCACTCCTCTTTTGACAATATTGTCTTTATAGTTATGACTCTGGTGCATATTTCTGAAAGTACAGCCATGTTCTTATGCCAAGTGGGCCAGTATTGATGGCAGAAAGTCTGGTGGAGGTGTAGATTTCTTTTTATTACTACTACAACTGGCCATCACAATACTACTAATAAGCTCTGGCCACCATAGAGTGTGAGTGTGCGAGTGTTAAGACATATTGAGGCTGATTTACCAAAGAAGTTGAGACTCTTCTCTTCAATTATCAAATCATGTAATAGCTAAATTTTGTTCAAGGTAAGATAAAAAGGTAGAAAGTATGACTATGTGAGAAGCGTGTGTGCTGCACAAAAAGGTACAAGCAAACCAAAAAAATAAAATCAGCAATGAGCAAATGGTGGAAAGCAGCAGTGCAGAACTGCAGAAAATAAAGCAAACATTTAAAATTAGTCTAAAGAAGAGATATCTGTTTAATGAAGAACCAAAATAAACAGAAGTTGTCGACTTCCAAATTAGGCAAATAAAATCAGTTTTACATTATTAGGTAATGGTCTTTACAGGTTAACCTCTTCCCAACCAATGACAGGATTATCCCGTCACCATCATTCACTCCATTAACAACCGGTGACGGCATAATCCTGTCATGTGGTACAATGAGCACTGGTCCGTGAAGGGACCAGCAGCTCATTGAGTTACTGCTGTTGATGAGTCCCTCGGGGTCCGAGGCAGACTCCCAACAGCAGATTAGGTGGTCACAGCAAGAGCTGATCGCAGAGCTGACACAGCCTGCAGCAGCTGACTGTGTTGTGTGCATCTGGAGTTGGTTGTGTGTTTACAAACTAATACAAAATATCGCTCAACAGAATACTGTATTCTACGTAGACATACCAAGTATCAAAGCCCCTGTAAATAAAAAACCCCTTAGTGCCCCCTAGTTTAAAAACAATTAATGTACAAATAGTTTTTAAAATGTTAAAAAATGTGTTTTTTTCTTCTAAAAAAGGAGAAAAGAAAATATAGTGCCGAGGAGGCTTTTAAAGTCTATTAAACAACGTTAGAGGCTATTAAACCACATTCTAAAATTACATTTTGTGACCTCTAACCCCCAAAATAAACTGAAATCCCAGACATATGATATACATGATAAAATTAGGACAAATCAAAGAATTTATTATGAATTATTTTCGGTTAGCTACACTAATTATGTACACAATATTGTTGGCAAAAGTGTTAAAAAATTATTTTTTCTTCCATTTTTTAGAAGAAAAAAAAAAAAGAATTTATAGATGCATGTCATCACTTTAAACCCCATCTTGTCCTTTGAAAAAAACAGTATATAAATATGTGTAGGTGCAATGAATGAGGAATATGGAAATTATGGTTAAACAAACAAATGGCAAAATTGCGTCAGTCCCCAAAAGTGAACATATTTTCTGAAGCCGTCACTAAGGGGTTAAAATCTAGAAATGTGGCCCACTGTAGCATTGACTAAACCATAAATTGTTTACAATTTGACAACCATATGTAAAAGCTAAAACTTTTTTTTTTTAAGCTTAGTTTTAGATAGAGTAGCAAGGGGTTAGAACCTCTTTCCGGCTTTTGCTGCCATTAATGCACCCAATAGGGAGATTCCCTCTCGAATTGTCCTAGTGGCCATATTTAACAATTAAAATCAAGGGAAAACCTGAAACTGAGGATATTTGTGCCACTGACAACCAAGAGGATTTCCTTCTGTGCCTATGGAACAGGAAGTGAATAGAATTCTCAGCAATGGCACACAAACTTCTTTTAAAGCAGAATTCCAGGCACAAATTTTATTAACCTTTGTCCTGCGGCTACCCCCAAACTGCAAGGGTAAAGTGCTCGTTTGGGTCTAGGGAGGAAAATAAAGTTAGACTCACCTGATCCTCAGAGCCATCTGGCTCGTAGACTGTTCCCTTCCGTTGCAGTGGTCCAACATCCCAGTCATCACCTTCTATACACAGTGTATAGGATGTGAAGATGCTGAGGGACATACCATTGCCGCAGTGGAAGAGACAGGCAGCAAGGAGTGCTGTAACATGTCGTGCGGCTCAGAGGATCGGGGGGTATAACTTTTTTCCTAACCTAAAACCAAAAGAGCAGTTAACGCTTGCAGTGCAGGGGTATTCCCACTACAAGGGTTAATACAATTTGTACCCGGAATTCGGCTTTAACCCTTCCCTATTCTAACCAAAATAAATAAAAAAAAGTTTTGGCTTTAGACATACCATAAGAAGCAAGTCATGCAAAAATCCATCAATTACCTAAGTGCTGAAAAAATTTGCAAAACTTGAGAACTACCATAACCTTATAATCTGTAAAGAGCTGCCAAACAAAGAAAACAGGTATTCAGCCACCCATCTTCCATGGCATTCAGTTTGTTTATTATGGAAAATAGATAAAACAGTTTACTGGATGAGAAGTCCTAGGACATTATAAAAAAAAAAAATACAATTTATTAAAATGATGCATAGCAAACAATTATGGGATATCAAATGCTCCTCTGTTGCTTACATTTGAAAACCTCTATGAGAAAAGAAAAAAATAATTCACAATATTGCGCAGCTTCCTAGGCAAATAAAAAAAAAGGAAGCATGGTGATGAAAAGCAGCTTCATGCCAAACACCAGAAGATTGAAGGATAAGGCTCATACTGATATTTATTCTCCTACTGTTGGAAAAGATAACTTCGTATAGATACCTTAAATTACATGGATTTGTATGAAAAGCCAAATGTACAATCTCCCATCGTATCCCTCCTAATGCAGAAAAGGCTTATGGGAGTGAAGAAATGCACGATAACCCAGCAGTGCTTGATTCTTGCTGCAGATTAGAAGTTTCAGTGTGGACTCTTCTAGCAGTGAGTGTAATGGATGCTACTGACTATAGCTGAACTATATACCTTCATCAATTAATATTCACATTTGGACAGCCAAAGATAGAATGTTCAAGTTAAATGGAAATCCCACCTGTATTCCCCAACCTACAGATACTCCGGCTATTTTAGGTTTATTCAGCGCACAAAATCCTAAAAGCGAGATTTATTGTGCTCACCGTGAGTGCTACAATAATTATGTTCATTCAAGCGACACAGCAGAGGTCTAAAACTAAGGTCCAGTCTTGTCCAGAACACACATGTGGCAGCATGGGAATTATAAAAGATAAGTTGGCAACAACTGTGGTGCCATTTGCTCCGCACGGTTACGGTTTTTCTTAAATCGATTAGTGATATTGTATAAACATTTCTATGGCTTGTTTCCTACGGCTCATATGTGGATTGAAATCAATTTCAAAAGCAATAAAATGCTGCCTTGACCAATGCTACCATATTGCAGTCAATATACTCCACATACAATGCATTATATGTCAGCTTTACGTGACAGTTGACAGTTGACACGTGAATAGGACAATTTATAAAAGATACACCATGATAAAAATGATCGCTATTAACCCTCTCAGTGATGTTTCATGAAATTGCTGTGTTAAGGTAATTAAGGTAAAATTACCTTTATTTCTTTCTTTGTAACCTATAAGCCATTCATACAGGATCAAAAACAAGACCAGCATTGTGATAACATTCCCTAGGTCCAGGGACATTATTCCCTCAACATGGAAGACATGAGTAGAAAGGCCATTTAATACTTTTACAATCTTTAAGTCCCAGCATTTGACGTTCTAAAAGGAAGGACTGCCAAACCAAAGACTGGGAGCAATAAATAGAAAAGAATAGAAGGACTATGAAATACACGAATGTAACACTTCAGTGTCAAGGTACATGTGTGCCTTGCATTCACTTGAAATACGTTGGCGGCCTTCAATACTCCCATCTTCTTTTTTTTTTTGCTGGCACACTGAACAGCAAAATAGAACATTATAACTTCAAGAATGCAAATCAACCACACTGATGAAGGAGACATCCATTGCATTAGTGTCCCCAAAACATAATGGAAGACTGCCAATTAGGTTTGTGGGTGAAAAACGAACACGCGAGCAGTTATTCTCTGATATTGTCAACTGTTTTCTGCGTGAAGAAAGTCATATTACACTTTAAACAACCTTGCACAATCAAACCTTAGCTATTAAGACAATTTGGTATCTTTGATTTTCATGAAATATTGTTTAGACCCAGTACATGTCCCTGCAGATTGAGGTCTTATACTCCAATCGCTGTTTTATGCCGATATAGAAAAGAATGTAAACTTCTAAAAATAAAATTAATCCATGAACACATTATGGTTTATGTTCCTTCTATGACATTGAAAGAATATGCTGGGAACTTAATACATTTCCTCCATGTCTAGAATGCAGTCTTATATATAGATATATATATATATCTATATATAGATATATATATCTACATATAGATATATATATCTACATATATTTATTTAGTTGTATCTTTTAAAAAAAAAACAACAAAAAAACAAAAGCAAAACGTATGTTTGTTCGTTAGTTTGTCCAGTCTGCTTTATGCAGTGACCGAGACCACATATTTATGTCCCTCTTATGGGGATTTGAAGCCAAAATCTATGCACTTGCTTTTTGTAAGCTAGAATTTATATTCCTTGGGATCATCACCAGTATAAGTCTGAATGCATGAGGAAGTAATGCACTGTCATAGATTCATGCGTAGATGTTCTGGTCGTTTAGGAATCAAGGGATAGGTTTGTTTTTTGTATGGTGCAGCATTGGATTGTCTTATTGGTAGTGGGGCAGAAGCCTCTCCGCTTACAGTCACTTCCATTTGTTCCACTCCACTTGTTTCCATTCGGAAATCAGATGGCTGTTGTGCGTTTGTTGCTCCAGCAGCTGTTCCTCTTCCCCAGAAATCGCCAGGAGAGAACTTCACAGGGCTTCAAGAAAAATAATATTTAGGTCAAACTATCATACATGGCATGCTTAAAAAGAAAAAAAAAACTCCCAGCAAAACATATTCTCCTAGGTTTGTCTCTAAAAAAGTAGGGGCTGTCTACAAAATTTTATGAAACGTTGGGAAAGGCGGTTGCAGAAACCATAATTATCACCTACACATTTCATTCTGCAAAGGTTCCTAACTTTAATACAAACTGCAGTTTTCTAGCTACCCATGGACTGTAAGTCAATGGGAAGAGCAAACAGACAGGCATACAACTGTTTGTCAAAATCTCATCTCTCTATTGACAAAAAAAAAAACTTCATTTTTTTATGCAGGATGCCTGTATTATTGCTGGAATACACCTCTCCTGTAGTCCTAACACTTTCTGCCCTAAGGTAACCACGATGATCCTCCATACATACAGTACAATGTGTCAGTGTCAACCTAGAATAGGAAGGGTGTTATTTACAGGAATACCAGGTTAAACTGAAGGAAAAAAATAATTCAGAAAACAAATCTAATGCAGGCACCACATCTAAGAACTAGTATTCTACAATATATTACATTTGTGTTCTTGGGATTAGATATGCTTTATACCTTATTGGCATATGACATACACCATGTATGAGAAATGCCCCAGAGATTTACTGCATACTAACATTTCTACATATGCCATGTGCCTGACTGAATTTCCACTCGCCCTCTCTTTATTTCCACTCGCCAAATGCGAGCGGGCGAGTGGAAATTTTGAGCCCTGCCATAAATAAAGAGAACATAATTTATAAAACTTGTCAGAGTGTTTGTAGGATTACCTGACAGGTGTTCGGGGACTTCCGATGAATCTACGAGGAGACCGAACTTTTGGTTCAAAAGAAAACTTCTCTTTCACACTTTCCAGCACAGAAGGAGCCACGTATGTAAAACCCTGGAGATGAGCAACCATCAGGATTAAACATTACAGCAACATAAACTGCATCTAGTAGGATTAAGCTATCAATACATATGAAAACAATATGTTTACAAATAAAAGTTTCAACAGGAACAGGTTTTGTATAGCCAAATGGGAGCTTTGTCTCAAAGGAGAACTATGGGCTAATGAGCTTCCCGATCTATTGAGCAGACGTGGGACAGTTTCATTGGCGTGACGTCGGCTCCAACTATGAGTGAAATTTGAGTGAAAATAACATAGTTCTTCTTTAACTCTCCCATTCATCCCTAAAGAAAATTGCCTGGCTGAGAAGGGTTGGGAGATAGGAATCAGGTCCAACATGCCGCTGAAGAGTGTTTAGGGAATGGGAAAACCATATAGGATTTTTAAATTGCAAAAGTGAACCTGTCCTTTAAGCAAACCTGTTAAAACTTCCATTGTGCTGAAGACAGGGAAATGTTTTAATGTAAGATGTTAATCAACATGCCAATGCAAGAAAATCCAAGAAAGCCCAAAAAGTACTACCAGAGTTAAATGATCATTTACAGCTAAGCATATTTGAATATATTCACCAACTAAAATAATCTTCATTTGCTTATTGACACATTTAAAACATCTAAAAAGGTTCAATGCATAACAACACATAACAATTAAGGATTACAACATATCTAAAAATTGAAGTATGGCCTCTTTACATTTGAACAAGAAGCTTTCAAGCCTGTTTCCTTACCACAAATACTTGATTGGCACTTTCACTGAGAGTGGCATCATCTGGACTGTCTACAGGAGTCTGCCGTGTAAACTTTGAATCAAACTGGCTCACGTCTTCTTCAGATTGCTTTAAAAAGATAAAAGTCGTTTTTTTGCGCGTTTTTTTTTTATATGAAAGACAAAGCTAAAAAGGAACCGCAGAATACTTTCATTTGGCCACATGATCGCCCTCTAAAGCCGAGAGAGTATGTAAACCGTAAAAAGGTGCCCATACACGGGCCGTTATTATACCGGCCGAAAATTCGGTCAGTGTATGAGGCTGTCGGCTGCCTTTCAGCCGGAATTCCTCGATCAGCTGATCGAAAGAGCCGGCTGAAAAATCTTCGTACGATCAGAGACAGCAGCCAATCAGAATACAATGCAAACAGTGGCGGTTCCTTGATCAACACGCTGTTTATGTTGGAGGAATTGCGTCAATTTTTTTCCGTTCAGCCCGCGTCTTGAAAATAAAAAAACACAAAACAAAAAAATTGATAGGTGTATGGCCAGCCTTACAATGAACTCTTCCTATTTGCTCTCGTTTGGTCTGTTAAATATAACATTGGAGGCTTTTTCATCTATTTAAGCACACATACAAAAAAACAAAAACTGTGGATCTTGGCAAAAAATTCAGAGCCGTCCTGTACGCTCTTGCCTGTGTTATTCCAAGAGTCTATTTAGCCCTCGTAGCTGCTATCTTGGACTACAAGTCAATCAGTACCCATGTATTAGAAATGAAGACAGTTGAAGTGGTTGAATTTAGTTAAAAGAAACTGGGTAGGGCTGAAAACAATGGTTTCACAAAATGCTGGGTGCTGTCAGCCCCCCCAAAAAAATGAAGGGCAGAGTGATTTACTGGCAGATCAACAGGTGTTTCTCTGTGCTTGCAGGGTATTTACAAGGATAAAACATGGTGAAATGTGCATATATTGCAGTGACAAGCTGGCCTTGACCTTGAGGCAAATATAAAAGGCACACGCATACAGCTCTGATACAGTCTTGTATATGAAACCACTAAAAGGACTCAATTAGGTGTGCTCAATTCAAATGCGTTGACAAGGAACATACAAATAGTAGACGAGACCGTAATGAGTACAGAGATGACAATTGTTCCTTGATTGTACATCACAGGACACAGGAAGTCAATTCTTTAATGGATGAGTTCTGCAGCTACCTTCAGGTGAATGGACACAGGAAAATCAATCAAAGCTGTAAGACAGTCCTGTATAACTCCCTCACTTTCTCAGACTGCCTCAGTTTTTTTTTGTTAGTGCTCTTAGGTAAATCGCTGCCTTCTCTCTAATCAGAGAGGCACATCCTTTTTCTGCACATTTCTGCTCAAGACACTTCTGGCAAGTTTCCCTAAGATGCTTACAGCCACCATGGCACCTAACAGCAGTTAACAGGATCGGTTTCCTCCTTGGCAGACTGTAGCCGAACCCCACCGGAAGGAGGATGGTGGGGGGGTTGACCGGTGTTGTGCTCAGGCACTGGATCCTGTGTGGGGAACTCTCTTTGGCACTTAGTGCAGCATGTATAGGTCCAGCTCTGTGGTCCATTATGGTGCAGACCTGTCCCTGAAAACCCCCTCAGGGATGTGGACCCACTGGGAGGGCAATGTCTGGATATGGCATAAAACTTTAAGTGACAGTGCTGCCGAGTCAGACACCACTTCAGGTGGCAAGTCAAGGCTGTCCCTACTCCAGTTTCTGCCCCTTTCCCCCATAGGTGAAGATTGGGATTCCAGCAGCAAAGAGGAGTCCCTTTCCCCCTCTATTTATTACATTTGGTGCCTTTCTATTGGTTTTTGGCTGGTCTGAAAGGCTACACAGCACCTGTGAAGCCTCCCTCTGGAGATTCCTGCTGCGCATGTGCCCAAAATTTACCTTTCTGGCATGTTGAGCTGGCTACAAAGGTTCTGGCTGCTAAGAAATGGATTCTACAGATAAGACCAAAAATCCTGTTATTCCTAAATGCAACACAAAAAGTGCAACAGAGTGCAATTGCTCAGTGAGAAATTAAGGTTAGGGGCAGGGAAGGATTTTTTAAAAATTAAGTTATACTATAAAAGACTCCTGCTGATGACATGTAAGAGGATATATTTATTTGTAAGGGTGTTTTGCATCCCTGCATACTTTATATTAACTAGAATTAGAAAACTGGAAACATTTCTGAGGCAACTTTCTTTGTATTAGCATTACCCTTTAACCTTCTCATTTCTTCACAGAAACAGCTAATTTCCACAACTGCAATGAAAAGACATTAAATATTCATACACACCAAAAGCGGTTTAAAGGGAGGCTCCACCTTACGAGCTAAAAGATCGTCCCAGCTGATGTGTCTAAAAAAAGGGTGAGCCTGAAAAACACATAGCAAATATGAACACATTGTATGCTATAACACATTGTCTATATGTTGGTATCTATTTAAAAAATTCCAGTGGTAAACCTGACAAACTTATGCAAAGAGTTTTTGACAATGGTCCCATTTAGGAATTATAAACAGTATTAAACAAACGTACCTGTACATCACCGGCATCTGCAGCTGCTGCTCCAAGGCGAGAGGCAGCATTTCTTTTTAGCAGCTGAGGAAAGGAACAAGAACGAACACACATCAATGCTGGCTTAGCAATTGCTAGTTTAAAAAGGCTTATTCAATAACACTGCACACAGTAGTGAGTAATAAAAATTCACCCCAACTAATAAGAAAGAGGGCTACTGGCTATGGGTTACCACTTCTCCAACACAGTCTTGCCGAACAAACCTGTAGCACAACCAAGAGGCTACATACCTTTTTATTGCTTTTGCATAAAAGTGGAACTAAAGTCAAATTAATTTTCTATGATGTTGGACAGAGTAAGAGAGTGTTATAACTAGGGATGCACCGACGAAAATGGCACTTGGCAACATTTTTGCCATCTTTCAGCCGAATTTGCGCTTGCATCCATAGATTCTCTCCTCCCTACAGGGCGCTGCTCTGGGGCACAGAGCAGCATCCAGCGAGGAGAGAAACTGTCAGGAGGCCGAGCAGTGCGGGGGAGGAGAGCAGCGTCATCGGTAGTGTCACAGGAAGCCGAGCTCTCCTCCCGCACCGCCTCTTGTGACTAATCAGAATAGAGAGCGACTGTGCGGGGGCGGAGACAGCCATCTGCTGTCACAGGAGCACAAGCCGGTGGTGGGCTTAAGTCAGCTGTTAAGATAGACCGAGCTTTACTCCATTTCCAGCACCGCCGCCTCACCCTCATCTGACAAATTAAGGATGGAGAGCGGGTACAAGCAGTCAGTGATCAGCTGATCGTTGAGTGTTTGTAAATAACTGGACATAGTATGAGTTACTATGTACCAGTAATGAATGAATAGGAAATGCTCTACATCACTTCCTATTAATTCATGATTGTGTACATGGTAAACATACTATTTCCAGAAGTTATAAATGAACACTCAGTATAGAGGAGGCTGCAGAGAAAGAGATTGTGTCCTCGATCTCCTATTTAAAAAGGGAAATATCAGGAGTCTAAAGCCTTGATATTTCCCCAGAGCCCCCGGAAGTAACAATAGATATATCTATAGATATATATATATATTAAAAAGTTTAAAATAAATTTAAAAAAAAGGGTTAGAAATAAATGTTTTCGGCCTGACTTATTTTTGGTTTCAGGTTCAAATTTTAATTTCAGCGCACCTCTAGTTATAACCCCTGTCCTCTTTTTGCCATCTGTGTCCCATAGCAAAGATTTTCTTTCACTTCCTGTCCCAAAGTCACAGGAAGTGAGAAGAAATCCAAATAAGCTGGTCAGCGGAGAAGAGAATAGAACTGTATTGACATTCTGTATCTAGTAATTTGCCCACATAGCATTGTTGCTGTTATGTTAATCTCTCCTCAACTCCTAGATTTTTTTTTTTTGTGGGGTAGTTCAGGGTTGGTTCCACTTCCTATTGGGATTGAAGGAAAAAATGTAAATGGGGTGGGCGGTCTGGCTAGATTTTAACAGAAACTGAAGTGGGAGAAGAGGTAGAAATGAAAGGAGCTCCAGAATCCAAATTGGTGGTATAGTTACTCAGGAAAAGGATAGTCTAAATATTTTCCATGCCTTTGGCTACATACCTTTTTAAGTAAATCCCTGGCTTCTTGTGTGAGGTAGGGGGGCAAGTTGAGTTTACACTTTAGGATTTTGTCAATAGTTTTTTTTCTGTTTTCACCAGTAAAGGGTGGCTGCGGAAATGAGACAATTAGGCCATTTGTTACAAGCAAAGAAAAGAATACCAAAAAACACATTTTGTACAACATTTTGTGCTGAAAAATAAATCTGTGCAACCATACAACTATATTCAAGTTTAGTTACAAGAAATAATAGCTGCACATTCCTTGGGAATTAAAAGTTCAGAAGATTAAAACAAATGGAAGTTTACTGAGCAAAACGTTCGATAAATTTAGATAAGGAAAATGTGTAACCACCAGAACAAAAGCAAAGTGCATATCAATTTCTGAACAGGAGAAGAAACCTACTGCTCCAGTTAGCATGTCATACATCAGGGCTCCCAAACTCCACCAATCAACTGCACGATTATGACCACTTCTCATTAAAATTTCAGGAGCCCTAAAAACAAAACAAAAAAAGGATGAGAAAATAAACTTTACATATAGCAAACACCATGGAGCCAGTTTATAATTTATTCACACAAATGTCACCCAGGATTTACATATTTTTACACTTAAATCACAGATAAATGTGTGAACCTTGGGTGAAAAAATAAATTATATATTGACCCCTACTTGTAAGGTAAAAGGTATATAGCCCAGATCCCCAGAAAGTGCCAATGCTGTAACTTTGCCCCCCCCCCAAAAAATCCTTGTTTCTCTTGTGCTGAAACCCTTGTCGGGTTTGTATTGCCATCTGTGCTCCAACTGGGAAAAGTCAGCCCCCTTAGAAACAGAACAGAGAGAAAATCTTAAATAGGGGAATCTGCTGTAGTAACATATGATTGAAAGGGGATTTTTCTGCATTTTGAAGAGATTTTTCTCCCACATCTTGTTCGGTCTTCAAGACCGGAATCTTCCCAATGCGACACGGGCAGCAAAGTGAGCCCGACAGGGGTTCAACCTGCCATAAAAAAAAATTGGATCGGAGAGCGGTGACTGACAGTCACCAATCTCTGCAGAGAGATGATCGGGAAGTCAGTGATCAGCGGTATGTGTTTGCTCACTTCCCGATCAACAGGGCCGACCTGTGACAACTTCTTTGTCACAGGTTGCCTTGAATTATGGGGATGAGCGTTCTTCACTCACCCCATAATTCTCCATTAAGTTGTATGTGCAAGTTCCATGTCTAACATCCTCTACTGCCCTGATATTTCACGGGCTGTATTCTTTTTTTCAATGACTTTCTGAGCAGTGAAGAGAGAGACGCATACCTGTTTCGGTTTGGTAACTTGCTAGCAGTGGAGAAGGATAATAATGACAGTCCTGGGAGCACACATCCTTAAAGCAAAGTCAGCAATAGTAGCTTTCATACTACCACCAGGTTCCTTTTTATGCAGATTAACATATAGAGGGCACAAATATATTCTTACACAATGTGCACACTGCACTTGAGGTTTATGCCAGCAAAAACATTTTTTTTTAAAGTTTTGGTGGAAATACCAGCAGTAAAAACAGAACAAGGGTTCATAACCTTCTGTACGCTATTCAAAATTGAGAAAAAATATTTTGCTGGATGTCAACTTTAAGGCATTTCCCTTTTAATCACTTACTGTTGTAGATGGTTTATATGTACCCTTGTTCCAAAGTAGTTTTCAAACATTAACTATTTATGAAATGCAACAATATGGAAAAACCCAAAGCTGAACTCACATGTATTCTATTGTTCCACAAAATGTATGAGTTACTGTGCCATCATGAATGGATTCCTTACAAAGGCCGAAGTCTGTTAGCTTCACATGTCCTAGGAAGAAAAAAAAAAAAATGACAAGTGAACAAACGCTACATGCAACTTAGAGGACTATGGGGTCCAAGTTTTTCTGCACCTTTGTATTGCTTAGGATAAAGGAGTATATATTGTAATTTACTCCTATAATCTTAAACACACTCTAAGCCTTTTATTTGTGATATTAGATGCTGGGCAGGGCTAAGCACTGCAGTGAGGCGAGATCCCGGCAATATTGTCAGGATCCTCCTCACTGGTCTCTCCTCCCTGTGATCGACAGCTCTTTTTTTTCAGCCTCTGCGCGTTCATGATTATATGGGGGCGTGCGTATTGGCTCTGTCCCTGCAGCTCAATCCCTGCCTCCACATCCACTCCTTTGTATGTGTGTTCCACCTGCCTCCCTCCTCTGTTTCCACCTTCTCTGCACATGCTGCCGAGCGGTGTCCACAGCTTGTCCCCTGCTTATCGGCAGAGTTGACTAAAGCCGCTATTCTCCTTTAATAACTGAACAGAGAAAGTAACTGCTCCCATGAAGGAAAAAAAAAAAAAAAAAACACACCAGCTGCTATTTTCCCATTGCTTAGTTAAAACTTATGTAAAAATGTATTAAAGTTGAACATGAATGCATATTTGTTTTATTCATAAGTCAATTTAATGTTTTAATTCATTTTCAGAAACTGAACACTCAACCCCCCGCCCCCCCAAAAAAGAGATCAAAACACTTCTAAACCCTTTAGGAAGATGTTGTCCACTAGGATCCCTGAAGCTTACCCTCTTCACTAAGGTAAGTTAGAAAATTGAAAAAAGGAAATGGTATGAAAGGACACCAAGCCTAATGTAAAAATTCAAGCTCTGAAAAGTATCAGGTTCAAATGCTCAACACTGATTATTTAGATCCTTGACATAGTGAGGACAGTCAAGGCTGGTCCCAGATGACCTAGCAAGACCGAAGGTCCTTCTTGAGTGGGGGGCCAGGATGGTGCCCAGCTCAAGAACTCTAGCTGACACAGGGTCTGGACCAAGGGGTCTAGGGGTTAGTCATTTGAAAAGTAGATCTCCAGACGAAAAATAGTGGGCGCCCCTGGGTTAGAGGAATCCTGGGGGAACAGGGGTTGATGCAGCAATCAGTGTGGTAGCGCATTAGGCACAACGTGAGAGAGTACTTGGGGCAAGGAATTAGCTCAAGTATCCAAGGGGACTCTTTCTGCACCAAAATATCCAATGCTTTCCATGAACCCAGGATTAACCAGCATCCCCCAACTTATAGAAATGGGGGCTCGACTTTAGACAAAAGCTTTGTCAGTAAACTTGGCCAGTTTCTGACTTTTAGCCTGACTTTCGTGGGCCATCAGTAAGGCTCTGGAGGGGCACCTGCCACAAAAGGGGAAGCTGGTGAAGTGTGAGGATTGGCAGACCTCTCCCTGGAGTGTTGAGGGAAGAGCACTCTCTAGTCTTCCATGGGATACAAAAATGTAGTATCCAGAGTAGATCCAAAGAGTCGATGTCCCTCAAAGGGTAGGCAAGTCAAATTGCTCTTTTGAAGGGATATTGGTGTCCCACCACCCGTAACCAGTGTGTGCTTTATGTATCCGTGTGCTCTTCACATAAATTACAGACCCATGCTGGACAGTAGTTTAGATACTTGTAGGAAACCATCCCAGCTAAAGGCATAAAGCCCCAGATTCTCACTGCTAATCAGTAGAACCCTGAAGGGAGAGCATGCTCTCTTCCTGCCAAGTTGCTTTTTCTGTCAATGGGAGGCAATGGCAGATCAATTGTAAATTGCACTGCCATTTACAAAATTCCCTTTGATGGAGAATAGTTAACACAACCTCAGGAGGGAACCTTCAGGGTATTTGAAGTCCCTGAAGGTACCTCAAAAGGTGACGTCAAGAGACTGTGGTGCCTAGAACAATCTCTTCAGAGATACTGTTTGGACTCTGTATCTTGGTCAGAGATGGTCACAAAAACTGGTGGTCCAGCTTGTTCTAAGGTCTCTAGAAGGTCAGAGCTACATTCTGCACATGGTGGCACTGGAGAATGCTTAGAGCCTCTGCAGTCAGTATCTGCTATGAATCTGGCAAATATGGCCACAGTCTTGAGTTACTGCAGTAGAGGCCCCTGACACCAGATCATTGGCATCAGTTCCCTGAGAGATTGCCAAGTAGACGTTCATATAACCATTAGAGGGGTATGAACTTGTGTCATGCATATTAGTGGGACTGTCCCTTCTGTGTCTATGTAGAAACATGCTGTGGCCAAGTGGCAGCAATGTAACTAGGCTCAGGGCCCAGTTCCCAAAGCTAGGCTGAGGAAATACTGATCTGGATAGCTGCTATGTAGAAAGCAGCTCAATCAGCAGTGTAGCAAGAATTAGACTTTTCTTTCAACAGCACTGAATATAAGGGCTCCTAACTTGGAAAAGGCTAGGGCTAGGACTTTCAGACAGACACAGAATCATCCAACCACCATAAAACCTTTTTACTAGATAAGCTCCCATAGATACAGATGAAACTCGATTAGAATATCGTGCAAAGTTTATTTATTTCACTAATGCAACTTAAAAGGTGAAACTAATATATGAGATAGACTCATTACATGCAAAGCAAGATAATTCAAGCCGTGATTTGTCATAATTGTGATGATTATGGCTTACAGCTCATGAAAACCCCAAGAACCCCAAATCCACAACCTCAAAAAAGTAGATTATTACATGCAATCAATAAAACAAGGATTGTACATAGAACAATATCGGACCTCTGAAAAGTACAAGCATGCATATGTACTCAGTACTTGGTTTGGGCCCCTTTTTGCAGCACTTACTGCAATTACTTTTCCACGATATTCTAATTATTCGAGTTTCACCTGTATGTGCTTTGGTGCCAACACCAATGTGCCTAACAATGCTATTCTAATTTAATCAAGATATGGCAAACATGGTATGTTATAGTTGCATTAACATGTGCAGATTACTGTGTTTCCACCTTGATGATTTAGCATGATGTTCTCCGGTTTCAGATCACGATATATTATTCCTTTTTGATGCAAATGTCCCAAAGCCATTGAGATCTCAGCCAAGTAAAAGCTGAAAATAAATATGAATCATTAATATAAAAAGGGGAGGTGGGTAAAAGTCCAGGATAATCACACGTTAAAAAAAATAAAAAGTGTTTTAGGGGTTGTTCACACCAAGCGCGTTCCAGGAGCAGAGCAGAGCAGTTGCAGACTGGATCAAAACTGCGTCCAATGTATTCCAATGGTATTTTTGCTCCAGTTCACATCGCAGTATGCAGTTCCAGAGCAGGTGAAAAAACTGCAGCAAGCCCTATTTTACATGCTCTGGAAAATATGCAAATGCAAAAAAACGCATGAAAATGCCTGGAACGCACTGAATATGAACAACATTTTTTTTTTAACCAAAAACGGCCCGGAATGCATCAAAAACGCGGCACAACTCACTGCACTGCGTGTGCAGAAACGCTCTGCATTTGGTGTGAACAAGCCCTTAGTGTTCTGGTTAAGTCAACGACAAATAAAATCGGGTAAACTACAATATTAGTTGTACACATCTAAACTTAAAAACATCCAGTTCTTTATGTGAATTTTAATTATCGCTTCTGTTGGTTTCTCAAAAATAAACAAACATTCAGCCATCTATTAAATGTGTTATTTAGACAATTTACTGAAAATAGGTAAGGAAGTGCAAGTAACTAAATCTAAGCCCAACTGGAGATTCACTAAAATGGTGCAGTTAGTCAGATAGGGTTTTACAATGTCAGTGAATAAGGAACCTGCATATAAATTGATGGTATCCATATCCTACCTAGGTATGAAAGCCTATCTCCTGAAAAGACAACTAGAGCCAAGAACAAAATGTAATATATTAGGTTTACCAATCCTTAGATGAGGACTGCATTAGTTTTTTTTTTCAGGTTAAAACACATTTTCAGCAAGTACAGAGCATGAGTTTTTTTTTGTGTTTCCTCTGGCCAAGCAAGACATCATAACATTTGTTGTTTTCAGCTAGGCCTTTGTGCTAGTGGGCAGGGGCCTCCCTTTCATGAAGTACTACATGCCAGGGACAGTGAACCTAAGGTGCTCATGGCAGGGGTTTCCAGGACAGTCCACCCCCCCATAGGATTTTTTTTCTTTTTTTGTGCATGAGGTTTCCTGCAAAGACGCAAGGCAACCATGCTGCTGGTGTAAAGGACTCAGTGAAGTCCCCCCTATTACTGCGGCTACCAATAGGTTTTTTCTTACTGCCTTACCCATCAGAGGCAGTCATTCCCGTCCCGCCAAAAGGCCGCCATCTCGGTCGAATCGCGTGGAGCTTCCGTTGTGCTGGCATTGCTGAAGTGAGGAGCAGTACGGTGGTGCAGGCCGCCATCGAATCCCCTCGTGGAACTTCCGTTGTGGGAGCGGACGCAGTATGCAACCAAAGGGGATGATGTGGTGGACGGAAGTGATGTTTTTTTCGAGCACTTGCGGCCCGACGTAATTCTGGCCTGAAGGGGACACTAGGAATGGAGTCTCCTGGTCCCGGTCAGCCCCTTGGTCTGGGCTACAACGGACTAACCAGAGGTGGGAGTCCTCCTGAGCACTTCTTAAGCTATTGCAAAGATAACTTAACTTCATACCCTCAAGTCAGCTGAGTGCCTCAGGGCTATTCAGCTGTCATCCAGGAGATTCCCTGCAAGCTCGCGGCAGTTTAGAAACCGGGACAGCTCTGAGACAATTCTCCTTATAAGGGCATTTGAGAATGAAACTAGCTAGGATAATACATCTGTTGCTATATGCACTAGAAATCAGGGATACGACAGTTTAAATGGCGCTGATGATGCGAACAAATTGATAAATTCCCTCAATGTTCTTTCTTCTGTAGACTATTCAACGGATTACCAGGTATAAATAAAAAGACATCAAAGCCTGAAAAAAAAGAAAACTAATGCAACCTCCTCAAAGACTGGTAAGCTGAAATATATTAAGATTTTGTTTGGGTTTAGATACACTTTAAAGAATTCTGCAATCACAAGCCAGGCAAAAAAAATTGAAGGCATAATTAAATCTCAGATTTTTTTTTTTTAAACGGCAGTGCTTCCATCACTAAGAGTAAGGATGCAGAACATTAGCAAACAATTTTATTAGGTTTTGTGAAATTGTGCATCATCAAGTGATCAGCATTTATATGCAGGTTTGTTCCCCACATTATGTTTGACTGTAAAACCAACGCTTCAATAACATTCATTTATCTAGACCGTAAAGATTAGATTTTGGTTTCTTTAAAGAGGAATTCCAGCTATTAAATTAACCCTTGCAGTAGGGCTACCCGCGCTCTGCAAGGGTTACCTGCTCGTTTTGATCTAGGGGACGAAGTGCAGAAGATATACTCACTGGATCCTCGGTGCTGCGGCAGTAAACGATCACCCCTCTCTCCAGCTGTGACATGTCCCACGGCATCCCCATGTCTAATGAAGGTGAATGGATCTGCATTAGACGCGATATCTTCAGCTGGGCCAAGATTGCCGGAACATAGGGGCGAAGAGACTGCGGGGACCAGTCTAGCAGCCAAGCGGGATCAAGATCAGTTAGGTATATCTTCTTTAATCCACCCCGTAGAGCAAAATGAGCAGTTAATACCTTGCAATGCTGGGGTAGCCACACCACAAGGGTCAATTCTCTTAATTCCTGGAGTTACTCTTTATAACCCAAACAGCCTTTTTCTCACCCTCATACTACAACTTTCAGTCTTTATACCCATACTCTTAGCCTATTTATCTGCTAAGCGGAATTATTCTAGAAACTTGCATTAAATACACAATGTAAAATCCATTGTACTTTACTCACCAAGCTGTATCTTCCATAAATATTCCTTCTCTTTCCAGCTGCATGAATAGCTCCCCACCTAAGTTAAAAAAAAAAAAAAAATTAAAATAATATTCAGCATAACCTGTAAGTGTGAACAAACTATCATGGTGAATATGGATAAACAATGGAATACACAGGAATCGTGAATGTACAAAATAAAAACAGTAATCTGTGAGCTGGACTATTTGGAAAACTGACCACTAAGATACTCCAGAATGAGGTAGAGTTTTCCACCAGTTTGAAAGGCATAGATCAAGTCCACAATGAAAGGATGCTTTACTTCTTCCAAGATATTCCGCTCAGCTTTTGTGTGCGCTGTGTCTTTTGCATTTCTTACGATCATAGCCTGGAAAAAAAAAAAAATGATCAATCCAAACTGTTGAAACCTTCCATCTATACTGGGACACATACATTATCTAAATGCTACAGGGGCTTAGCCCTCATTTTGCCATTTCACATGTTAAAGTAGCTGTAACCCTGGCTATTAAAATCTCATAAGCTTTAAAGTAGAAACTGTTACACAATCAAAAATTGCTAAGAGTTTTTTGGCAGAAGAGACATAACATAAATGCGGACCTAGCTCATTCTAGGCATCTGAAACATGCCGAGAATGGAGTCAGGTGTTAGAGGTGAAGTGACTCCATCAACCCATCATCCAAGGAGGAGTGAGGCCAGACCCTGAAGAGGCAGAGGAAATGGCATTGATGGGAGACAGAGCAGCAACTGCAAGCCAGGACTTGTTCTTGCTGGAGGAGGGCACACTAGGAGATAAGTGTGCCATAATGAGCAAATATACTGCACATTAGGACAAGAGCCCACCCAGTGGACTTTAGTTGCAACATACATTGCACAGGCATGACCCAATGTCACCACCAAGAATGCTGCCTTGAGCAATATCATGCTGCCATTACAAATGTGACTGCAAAAAGAGTGCAGAAGAGCTGCAACAACGGATGAAAAAAAGAAAACAGGATTTTTTTTTTTAAATAACTGCACTACAGTTATGATTTACATTTACTTAAACAGCTGATCATCAAAGTAGAAGAAATCCTGCCCCAAACTATCGAATCTAAGAGTTTAATGGTCTAATAGGCCAGGATCCAGTGAACCTGAGGCAATCTACGTTGGCAGGAGACAGATATATGTCCTGGACAATAGCCCACTTTATTGGCGACTCTGTAAACACAAAGTTATCAGCTGCCTTTACTAACAGTAAATAAGGACTTTGTGACTGCAGCAGCACTGGTCTGTGTGCTGTGTATAGAGTCTGCTGCCACTCCTATTACTAGCACTGGCTGTGCCTATGTGATGCAGATATGTGGGTGCACTATGCCTCAAGCTTGCTCATAAAGCGTGACAGGTAGCCTGTGGTAATTGGCCATCAACATGTCAGCAAGTTGTAGATAAAACAATGAACTGTTTACACCAGCAGCAATGCAGAAATCACCAACAGCATGCATGCTGTGTGGGAAAAGGCACGTTTGATTCAGTCAGTGTCATTTACTGTTGGCAAGGCAGATTTGTGAAACACGGACTTTGTTTTGTAGTTCTGGTTTCCCTCAAAGTGAATCAGTAGAGAAACATGGCAGCTGCCAATGATTTAAATTTAAAAAGGTACAGGCTGCCATCTCATTATTAGTAATTCTAATCTTGCACACTTAGCCTGAAGCGAGTCACTGATCTGGCTAGGTTCACACCTGCACTACACCCGGGACGCGCTTCCTGCGGTCCTACACAATGCAGGCAACAATTGCCGCAAGGCCCCATTGATTTCAATGGGGTGACATCCGTGCGGCAATCGCAAAAAAAGCCAAGTAACTTTTTTTTGCGATACACAACGCGCGGCTGTTTTTGGAAGCACGGGGTGCCATTAGAAAATAATGGCACCCACAGCGCGGTCGCTTCACACTTTGGCGACTTCTGACCGCGCAGCAATCTGCCAACACAGGCGGGGATTAAAAGGGACACAGATTGCTGCAGCTGGCACCAGCGGGGAAGAGAACAGGTGAGCAGAGTGGCAGCGGATTGAACTAATTGATATTAGAATAGTTGACAACGATTCTCATATTGGATTACATTGATTAGTTGTTTCAGCCCTAAGAACATGTATATTGTGTACATATGAACACCATCGCACATAACTTCAAAAGGCTAACAGCTCCGTCCTCGCCCTCTCCGCGCTGTTGTCTTGAGACATACACAGGGAGAAGCAGAGATAAAAACAACAGAGTGGAGGGGGGAGATGACGGAGCTGGACTGACTGTCTTTTCTGGAGACAGCAGTGTAGAGAGGAGGAGTAGGGGCGGGGCGGGGCCACAAATTGCAGGATGGATGTGCAAGTGTTCGTGGACCTGTGGCATGACACAAACTTTGATAGGGTGTGCCCTGAGCTGCTGCACCTGCACAGTTTCTCATGAACTACCAGCAGCTCCTACAAGCTGCTGTCACTCAATGGGAGAGGAGGATCCCGACAATCTTGTCGGGATCGCTTCCCATCCCAGAGCTCAGCCCCACTCACAGTATATAATAATCGACTAACTAATCGATTTTGAAAATAATCGTTAGCTGCAGCTCTATATATTACATTGAATTTGAATCTTATGGTGCATTTTTGGATTTCTGGAGTACATTGAAAAAATTGAAAAGCTGTAGTAAACCAATGTTTTACCTTTTTTAGTACTTTCATGGCAAATATTTTTCCAGGATGAACACCTAATACTTTTCTTACTTGAAAAACCTGTGTACAAAAAGAACAAGTTCAGAAATGATAACAAGGACAACAAGTTATATCACATATCTGATTGTTCAAAAAAGTATGCTGTATTTTCATCACTTGTGCTAAGATTTTTATGATCAAAAATGATTTTTCAGCTCCCTAAAGCAACTACCCCATCAGCAAGTTTACCACAGGAATATTTTATCAATATATGAGATTTACTGTAAAAGTCAATTCGCCTTCTCCTGCTGGGAGAGTGTCACACTTCCTGAAGCATTCACTATAACAAGAAAAATCTGGCAGAGCGAGGTCCTTCCATTATAACAGCCACAGCAGGAGAACAGACATGCAAACTCATGGTCATATATTGCAATGAAATGGCGATTATGTGTCGGTGAGGGAGCAGTTAGGTGAAGTTCTATGGGTAAAGCATTGTAATTTTGATTGCCGACTATAACTGTAGAAGCCATGAGTGTACCTAAACACCATCCCCTGCAGAATCATTACCTGACCTGCCTACAGTCTCTAAGCATATTTTCCCTGCAAGAAAAGCTTTATTCTCTCTGTTCCCAGACTCTGACTATTCAGTGCAGAAATTGACCAAGTGTTTGTTTCTGTATGCGAGTCCTAGGGCTTATAGTAGCCACCATTGAGGCAGTCTTGTCTGTCCAGTTTCAATCCAGCGCCCTAAAACAACATCCTGTCATGAGACGGGCTCAATCTCTGGACAAACCAATTCACCCGTAACCAAGAACCAGGTTGTCTCTGGCCTGGCAGCTCAGGAATCAAACCCCGGAGTTGTAATCTCATGGAAGATCATAACAGATACCAGCCCAAAAGGCTGGGGAAGAGACCTAGATATCTTGTCGGTGCAGGGGACTTGGACACCAAGGAATCCCCTCTCCTGAACAACATTCTGGAGCTTTAGGCAATTTTGCTGTCCCTAAAATTGCTTAATGTCCCGAATAGGGGGTTATTCGATTATGACCCAGTCAGACAATGCTACGGCAATGAACTACATCCACTATCAGGGAGGAACCAATACATTTGTCATGGCAACACAAGTAGAAAGGATTCTGTCCCGGGCAGAACTTGAAGCTCTAGCTTTTCCCACAGTTTACAATTGAGACACGATTGTGCAGCTTCCATAGACTTTCTGTTGGGTCCATGGACTTACTTTTTATATCATTATCATGCTGAATTTTGTGAGTATGTTTTTTATCTACGTTTGATCCTGATCTTAATAAATTTGTCTGCACCAGGAAAGGCGTCCCCTGTTTGTGTTTTTTTCCACAGTTTACAATTGGTATATTGTAAACTGGTACAATTGGTCCAATAGGTATGGACAATTGGCAGGCAAACTGTCAGCTTGCAGTGTTTGGATACAGGGAAAAGTGCCCTACAACCAGAGCTGTTCTAGAACCTGTGTCACAGATCGGGGGGTGTCAGAAGTGGACTTCTGGCCTCCAGGTGCATAAATGCTTTGGCCAAAAGCAGTAGATGCTCTTAGCAGGGTAAGGCTCAGCCCAAAGGCAAACAAACATGAGCCCTAAAAATAACAAACATTACGATGTCCCTGTGTAGCCGGCGGAAACACAAAAAAACTGACTTGGGATGGAAGGAGGAGTCTATTTATTTAATGTGGTTGATGTGTTTCCTGTTGCAGGCAGGCGGAGCCTATATCTCGATGGCTGTCCTGGAAGATGACTGGGGAAAGAGGGCATTCCAGTGATCCTAATAGCTTCAGACTGGCTTAGACAGATGCGGTAATCCGACCTGAACAAACTGCTGGTAGACACCCCATAGGCTCTTCCAGATCGCCCAAATCTCATGTCCCAAAGTACCGGTTTACTATGCTGCTTCAAGGTCGCTGATTTTAACAGCATGGCTGTTGGAGCTCAGGTCTTGAGTGACAGGGGAATTTCAGAATCAGTAATTGTTTGTTATGATGCTTAATGCTAGGAAGTCAACAAGACCATTGTGCATGGAAGACATTTTGCTTAGTGCAAGGAAAAACTTTCATCCCAGAAAATGTTTTGTGGGAAGAATCCTGACATGTTTGCAGTCAAGTCATAAACAAGCGTTGGCGCCAAGTAGCATTAAGGGGCAAACCGACACTAGTCATTTTTTCCACATTTGCTCATAAGGTTACTTTCCTTGTCACCGTTACCTCTGTGAGCCATGTGTCTAAACCGGTGTCTTTGTCCTGCAATAAAAAAAACCCTTGCTGGTCTTACACCATGACACGCTGGTATAAAGGCCTAGAGCCTCCTTCCCTTCCACAGCTGTTTAAGCCTTTACCTCAACCAAAGACATTGTACGTCTGTCCAGAAGGAGATTTCCCTTGTCTAGCTGTAGTTTGAGCTGTACATGTCTACCTTGCAGCCATGGCTTCCACTGGATGTAGTTTGAGCTGCGTATGTCTACCTCTAGCTGGGTGGCTCAGAGTTTTGTTTTTTGGGGGCTCTTCAACACCAGGCAACTTTTTCCCAGGTTTGAAAGTAGTCATCTGGTCTTCTGTTCACACGCTAACCATGTTTTACCAGGTGCATGACAGGCCTAACCTGATGCCAGCTTTGGAAAAAAGGTTTAGGCAGCTCTTTCAGCTTTCCCTTTATAGTGGACCTATTAGCAGTTTGCTTTCTGTGTTGTCCACCCCTCTTGTTGGACTGCTTTTGCATGTCCCAACTGTCTCTGCATTCTGTGTTCCTCAGGGAATGAGAAAGAAAACTAAATTAAACGTTTTATGATCAGCAATGATCTAGTAGTGTTAAAGCTTGCTACTCCATCCTGTCTCCCACACATTCCCTATGAACTATCACTAGGATGGGCTTATGTACAGCCAATAGTAGTGTGTAGAAGGCAAAACTCGTGAAACCTTTCCCACTGCCAGTAAGTGCTAGAGCTTTGCCTGTCAGAACAGCTTAGGATTTGGCTACAGCAGCAGTGTTTTTTGTTTTTCTTTTTAATCCACATTGTTGCCATCTAAGTGGCCTTACAAATTGCATTTGTGTACTCGCCGTAAAACTATTTTCTTGAAATTCATTAAGGAACACAATTAGGTTGTACTTACACCTAATGGAGCATTTGGACACATGCAAAATAAAATAGTGACCAGTCTGGTTTAACCCCTCCCAGTCCCAACAAGGCTAGTTTTGTAATAAAGCAGTACCAAGAGCAAGGATCATAAAACTCGAAGGGCAGCCCTATGTCCATTAATGAATGCCAAGAAAAACATTTAACAGTGAGTATACAAATCCAGTGTTTTGTTTCTTTACTTACCTTGCCATATCCACCTTTGCCCAGCACTCGAAGTAGTTCGAAACATTCTGGTCTGATCTTTTCTGGCCCTCTATTCACACTGGTTTCTGAGATCTCAAATTTCTCACAATGTTCCATACCACTAAAAAAGGGGGGAAAAAGTGAGCAGAATGAAGAACAAGGTTGAAAAAGTCTTGGACATAAAGATATAAACCAATCTGACCTGGTATGTTGAGAAACACATCATGAAACATGTAGCAAACATTAGCATTAGAAACATTCCCCAAAACGCTAAGATTTAGGCCTTGTCCACACCGAAAGCGTGTGCGTCCCAGAGCGGTAGCTGCTGGAACGCACCGCGATCGCAAATAAACTTCTCCCTGCGTTTTAGGGCGGGAGGGGGCGTGGCGGTGCATTGAATTTGAATTCAAAACGGCACCACTTCAATGCCCCTCCCCGTACGATCGAACGCATGACAAGACTTTGCCAGCGTTCCATTCCCCTGCAAACGGGGCTTGCTCTGTTTTTTGCGTTTGCAGTGGAACGCAACACTGGCAAAGTGTTGCCACGCATTCGAGCGAAAAATGCAGCAAAAGGGTTAAAACAGTAGAAGTGATTCAAAATATGATGTTACAGATATGACCAGCAAAGACAGGACAAAAATATCCACAGCTTCAACTTGAGGCAGGCTCTGCAAAACACAATTTTCTCAAACACCCACAAATCAAATACACTGCTTTTAAAGCAAATACATGTAAAAACTTACAGTTCATATGATATGTTTCCATGGTCCATAAATTCACTTATGGTGTTCTGATGAAAAAATAAGGAAAACTATTAAAATACATTCTACAATAATAAAACAAAATAAACCTCCATTCATTTGATTACAATGGCTAACACAAGCAAAATGGCTAATAAGAGACTTGTAACTTCAACTTTTAATATAAGCCATACACAGAAATAGCCTTTGATGAGGACAGGAGGAAATATATGAAATCTGCCAAAATTTGAAAGACTAAAAGAAAACCTGCATTGAGGGAAATGGGCAAGCCACTACTGTTCCTTCTAAAATCCTAATCGCCTGGCTTCCACACTGATTTTATCACTCTAAACATGGAATCACAGACTCTAAGGCCAATTCCAGTTCCTTTCCACACTACAAACTGAAATTACCACACAAAATCTGTCCCCTCTGCTCCCCCCCACGCTAGTCATACCTTAGGTGAAGACACTGACAAAGACCCCCCCAGCCAGTTTACTGCGGCCAGACACTTAAAGTGGCATTAAAGGCTAATCCCCACCCACCCACTGCTCGCAGTAGATATCTACAAAAACACGCTGAGGGTTTAATAACTCTTTAACATCTAGAATAATGCTCACAAATGTAACCAGACCACACTGATCAATGAGAAGCGCTTCTTAGCAAGAAGCAGAGGTGCACCAGCTTGATATAATCTGCTGTTGCCTGTCCATATACAAAGTATATAAGTTCATTCGGGGAGTGAAGGTATGCTTTCAATACTTTCCAGGCACAATCTTGAAATTTGCAGGCTGTTTAATAAGTGTCAGCTTTTTTTTCCCTCTATTTTTTTTTAAACAGGTAAATGTTTTCCCTCTATACTTGTTTTGAGGCTGCCGCTGCTGGCCCCCTCCTGAAAACAGTTGTCTGACTGTTGTATTGACCCACTGGCTCAAAGTACCTTGGCAGAAAGAGGATCGCATGATCCCATTACATTTAAGTAGAGAAGTACTCTGGCTTATGTACCTGGGTCGCCGGGGCTAGTACATGCAGGCTGCTACAAGCCCGCGGCAGGGCTGAATGTAAAGCCCACATGCCCAGCACCCAGGACTGCATGTCTCTGGCGCACACCCCTGGTAAATGCAAAATGATCAGTTGCCACCAGAATAGAACAGAGGAGAAATCTCCCATTGTGAACACTTGTTCTCATGACAACTATGCAAAACTCATCACACACGTAATAATCTGATTGTACAATCTCTTTTAAGGTGCCCACACACCTTGCGATAATCGTGGGAAATCCCGCGATCGTACGATTATCGTAAGGCGTGTGGAAGCCAAGCGGCCTCTACTACTGTAAGGTCGCATGACTTATCTTACGAACATGCTCGAAAACCCGCCGAGAATCGTACGATTTTCGGCCAGTGTGTAGTATGGTCGTAAGATAAAAGCCAGACAGGCCGGTGTGGCATTGCGGTCATCGGAAGCCCGCCCCTCAGCGGGGCGGGCTTTGCGATCATCGCAAGTACGATCTGCCTGTCCAAGATAGGCATATCATACGTTTTTTAAAATTACCTTGCAACCATCGCAAGACAACAGTCTTGCGATGGTTGTAAGGTGTGTGCCCAGCATTAGATTTGCCAACAAGTATGTAGTGCAAGGGCCCACCTGGTTGGATACAACTTGATTAGATAGTTTAGGAAGATACTTGTATTTCATAGTTTTGGTAGATCCAAGACCCCTTTCACACGGGCAGACATATGCCCATTTACATCGGATTCCCTTTAGATTGACATGGGGTCCAATAATTGCAGTTGCGATGGAGGGAAAAAACTGTACAGATCAGACAGGTATGTCACAGCAGTGATATCCACTCCGTACTGCTGTGATAGGATCTTCTTCTGATCAGCCTCTGTGAAATGGGTCTAATGGTGATTGTGCAGAGATTGAATGGTCAGGTTGTAATGTGTGGTGAGCCTAAGAGTGAATTCCCCTCACACTGAAAACATATCCTGTCACTTCCTGATGAGTCTACAAAACAGGAAGTGAAAGCACTCTAATGAACACAGATGGCAAAAAAAACAAAACAACTAACTGCAGTTTTAGCCCTCACCTACCCTATCCAAAAATAGAAAAAAAACATTAAGTACAATAACTGAATTTACATTTTAGCAAATAAAGCAGGAGGAGGACTGAGGTTGGCTTCATAAGGGCTATAATGTGGTTAGACTTGGGCTGAGACCACTCACCACAATTTCGGACAACTATAAAAAGCTACCATGACATTTACTCCAAAACGGAGCTCCAATCCCTCTTATAGATTATCAGATGAGATCGCAGCCTAGCTTTATTAACCACCTCCCTCCACCGAACGTAGGAAAATGGCCGGGCGGGAGCCCTGTAGATGCGAGTGGGCATCTAAAAGAGTCCTTTGTGCCCGCCGGGAAACGGTCAAAATGTGAAACAGCCAGCAATGGCTGTTTACATACAAGCGGTCCGGCGTCTGCAGAACACTGTGGCTCTGTGCAGAGAGCTCAGAGGGAGATCAGTACTCTATCTCCCCTCCAGTGTTGAGTGCAAAAGTGATGTTTATTACGTCACTTCCGCATTCAGTTGTCACGCACCGGCTACAGAAGCTGGGGAGAAGCTGGTAGGGCAGATCTCTGCTTTATAAGCTTCTTTGGGGGTCCCTAGGTGACATTAGGTGTCTTAGAGACCCCTGTCTCCATAAAGAGGACCCGTCACTGTAATTTAGCCCTCTATGATAAAGTTAAGTGTAAAAAAAAAAACCCACATTTTTTTTTTAAAGCCACCCTCATACACGTGCAAACATGCGTCAGGTGCGCCTGTGTGTGAAAACGATGATTGCGCCCATTACGCCGCACATGTTACGTATAAGCGCGAATGTCAGAGTGTGAGCAATAATGCTAGGGCTATTAATCACTGATAACACTAAACTGATGAGCAGTAAAAGCTTTCAAAGACATCGCCTATGGCCAATTTTGGGTATAGTAGTTTTTTTGCAATTTCGCTGGTGTGCGCAATTTTATGGTTTGAAGTATTTGGTGTCTATTTAACCGACCTGACCCCGTCTTTTATATTTTGCTAAAAAATTGGTTAACATAATGAAGGGAAAACAGTTTTTTTGTTTATTTTCGGTAGTTTTTTTTCCCCATTATAAAGTAAAAAATAACCCCAGGGGTGATTAAACACCACCAAAAGAAAGCTCTGTCCGCCCCAAAATCAATTTCAGTACAGCGTTACATGACTGAATAAATGTCAAAGTACTGCAGCATTGAATACTGAAAAATGACCTGGCCAGGAAGGGGATGAAAACACCTGGTCAGCAAGTGGTTAACAAAGCACAAATAGTTACTCTACTCTTAAATACCAACGTGAAAGTAACACAACAGCTACACTGCTGTCCATGCTTATTCCAGTTAAACACACACAAAACAAAGCGATGCTTCTAGGTTACGAGTGTCCTAATCAATGCAGATCTACCCATAAACAGTACAGAAGACAACACAAAGATCAGCAACAATAACAGCAGCAATCACATGCTAGCTTCCGGCAATCATACAATATACTCATTCTGATTGGCTTCCTGCACTTCCAAGCTTGATACTGAGAGAACGGGCCCAGAAAGAAGCCAAGAATCTTCCCTGCTGACCAGCATAACTGTCAACATTCCTGTAACAGCCCCTTTCACAGTAATGCTGACCATACAATACACAACCTCCTTTGGATCTACCATCACCTACGTAGTGCAAGGGCCTCCCTGAATTGATATTAATTAAATGCATTGTTTAGGTTTGTCCTCGTATTACTCAGATAAGGTAGATTGTACAATCTAAGTGTATAATGAATGGCCAGCTGAACTCTTTTGCAAGTGATACTAAACTTATGCAACATATGAATAGGGGACCACATTCACCCACAGGTAGCCCCTGGGTTAAGAAGCATAGCGCACTAACTCTTTTGCCAGGAACCTGGGTTACTTCTTAGACCCCAGGGCCTGCAACTCAAGGCCTGTCTCCCTTTCCACAGGCTCCTACTCACCCCGTCCTCCAACTCATCATCTGAAATGGAGTCTTCTGGCTGGTCCAGGTCTATGTCAAAAACGCCCGCCATGGCTTCGGACGTTTTTTGTTTCCCCCCACCGCGATTCGGTGCCCCGTTTCCCCGCCTCATGGGAGCCTACACACGGCCGCCATCACCGGACGTTGTAACGCGGCGGCGCCTCAGCACGTCGCCACTTCCCACGTCCCCTACGTACGTGCTCCCTCCTTTCCCTCACGTCTCCTACGTCCACGCTCCCTTCTTTCCCTCTCAGGGCACGCGCAAAGTTTAGGCAGGGCCAGAGGTAGAGAGGCGGAAGTCGCGCGTGCGCAGTGGTGACTCTTGTTTATCGGTGTTACGAGCTGGTGTCTGCTCTTACAGAAAAATCCAATACTGCGTGAGAATTTCACAACAGGTATGCCTCGTGTTATATGACTACAAGGTACCATGACATTTCATCTTTTGAATTTAAATGTCGCTAGGTGATAAAACAAACAGTTGAACAGGTGTATTTATAGCCGTTTACTCCTATCTTCTCCCGTTATTCTTAGAAGCGATTATTTTCTCTACAAAAAATAATTATTAACATGAAGTGTTGATAAATATTTCTCTATAGCAAATATCTGTTGGTACGAAATACTTTTTTGCGTTATTTAGGTATTTGTTGGCTCCAACAAAATGGCTCCTGGTGATGGAGACATAAATAATGCAAGTCTTCCGCCTAGTACCCGGAATCTAGGGGGCGGGCAGTTTAAACGTCTGTTTTCTCCAAAGCAGGAACACCAGATTGCCAGGCTGCTTACATGTTTGACTGGCTGGCGAAAGAAGAAAATGCAAACCACTTGTGGAATTTGCCAAAGGATCTCATTTATGGAGAGTCAGACATTGTGACTGGTCTATTTTGTTCCGGGCACTGGTGAGGAAGCGATACTCTGACAATTGTAAAAATTAACCCATGCAATGGGACTACCTGCACTGCAAAGGTTAACTGTTTGTTTTGGTCTAGAGGGCTAAAATGAAGAAAATATAATCACCCGATCCTTGGTCTTACCTAGCTTCTAGACTGTTTCCCGCAGCCTCTTCTACCTTGGGCACTGGTGGTCTAAGCCCTTCTGACATCACCACATCTAATGCAAGTCCCTTCACCTGTATTAGACCTGAGGACACTGGGGGGCATACCACCGCCGCAGGGGGAGAGTGGTGAGTGCTGACCACTGAAGAACTGAGGATCAGGTGAGTAGATCATGTTTATTCCGGCCCATAGAGAAAATGAGCACCTAATCTTTGCAGTGTGGGGTAGCACCACCACAAGTATCCATTTTTACGGTTAATGGAGTCCTTTCTTTAATTTTGTTGGATTACTGGTGTAACTAGAGAGTATTATTGTTATATCTTAATGTGTCTTTGTGCGGTGTGGGGTAATGTGCATTAATAATAAAGAAGAACTCTGGGGGAAAATTATTAACCCTTGCAGTGGGGCAACCCCCTAACTGCAAGGGTTAACTGCTCGTTTGATGTCTAGGGAGGGAAATAACAAATTTATACTCGCCTGAGCTGGCTTGCTCTTAGAGCTTTGCTCCCCCTCCACTGCAGCGCTCTAAAAGTTCTGTAAATCATCAAATTCTATACACAGTGTACAGAATGTGAGAATGCTGAGGGACATTCCATTCCTGGAGCACTGTCACAGCGGCCACAGAATTGGGTGAGTATAGCTTTGTTATTTTCCTCCCTAGCCCCACTGTAAGGGTTAATAATAATGTTCCCTGGAGTTCTTCTTCAAAGTAACCCTGTTGCTTATGTAAAAAAAATGATCTCCACCAGGTACCCTCTGTAATCGATCTAAGTTGCATACTTCTATATTAAAAAGTAAAATGCTGCTTCAGAACACCCCCAAATTTACTTGTGCACACTCTGCTTCAAAATTGTTGGGGTATGTGCTCACACGGAATGGCTAAAATAAAATCCAAGCAAGGAAATAGTGACTGGAGCACCACATTAAGCTTTTCACTGTGCACTGATCAATTTATTATTTTTCTAATATCAAAGCCCGGAAACAATTCAGTACATGTGTCAAAATAAGAAGGCACTGGGTGTATATGTGAAAGTGAATATAGATATGATAACTAAAGTCCATGTACTCCTCAGAGGTTTGTGTATATTCTATTCATCTCATATATCGTTAGCCAGGCTTGATGTATGACTCTAAAGCACATGGCAAATAAATATGCAGTTCAAACAAAGCAAGGTAATTCCACATTAAATTCAGTTTTGGAGTTTTCAGAAAAGAGCAATTAAATGGTATGTACCAATTTTTGAATATTTTTTTAAAGTTATGCAATGTGAATGGGAGCATGTAGCAAATATAAAATAGGGATAACGCCTATTTAGCTGCAACATTGGAAATATACACCCAATTACTAGTATTAACTCATCAAAATATTCTCTATGAGAAGGTCATTTATGATAACCAAAAACATCATTTTAAACTTCAGAGAATCTGGGATCCATGGTACTAATCTGATTTTACACCTTCTTTTTGTGTATCACTTGGGTCCTTCTCTTTAGTTGATCCCGTCTGTATTCTGACCAGCTTTGTTTGTATATATGTGCAAATGATTCTGCAAGCTGTGTGGTTTTACAGTTTTATTTGTACTTCTACTTAATATAAATACTGTACCCCTCTTGTCATTCGGTATATGTAATGATTCCGTAAAACTACAGTTTATCTGAGCTCAATAAAAACAAATCTAGACCGTACAATCAAATTGTAACATGTATGGCCTGCTTCAGTTTTGAAGTCATGAAAGTTAAGACACTAATAGGGTTATTCACAAAAGGGTGAAGAGTTTGGAGAAGGCAGGAGAAGTGAACAATCTAGGACAACATCGCTGAATTGGAAAGTGAGCTGAATTGAAGAATGTTTCCAAATCAGCTATGTTGTCCTAGATTGTTCACTTCTCCTGCCTTCTCCAAACTGTTCACTCTTTTGTGAATAACCCTGTAAATGAAATAGAGGCATACAGCAGAGGGTTTACTAGCTCACAAAACTAATGGCAAGTTTTTTGTGGTATCTGTCCTTGGGGTGTAATTTACATTACATTTTTAAAGTTGCTTAATTTTACTTTACTGTATCATAGTTGTCTGAATTCTGAAGCTGGCTGACACAAGTGTACTGAATTTTATTCTGAGCGTGTCCACCACCACTCTCTGGTTACTTGCTATTGCATCCTCGTCTTGTCCGACTAGTGGTGCTCGTTTTTTGGAAAAAGATGCACTTGCTTCCAAATGGCAGCTTGCTAAATTAAGGTGAGCGAGAACAATCAGGAAGTTGGATAACTGGCTTGTTTACTTGGCTCTGTGAACTATGAAACCAGTGATGATGATGACTAATATTATTTCTGCCATGCTCCTTGTGAACTACCTACATATGCACTTGAGTCCACTTATCCACACACCCACTGTATAATCTGTTTATGGATATGTATAACAATAAAAAAAAAATCTTCTCTAAGACAACAACCTCAGCAACGCTATTCAATACACAGTAATGTGAAATAAAGTGCTGTTGTGCTCAGTATTAACTGACTCGCACCTTTTGTGAGTCTTCAGGGCTTGTTCACATGATATCGGGTGCGGATCTGCAGACACGGTGCTACTGATGCAGTGCGTTTTTTATGCGTTTTCGGTCCTGATGCTGACAGTTCATTTTTATTTTTTAGCCGTGGGGCTGTCAGTATGCAGATTCTTCCTATGAGGTCACTTCCGCCCTCTCGGTACATCTACTTCCCTCTGTGTATGTAAAGCTGGTGATCAGACATGTATCACATGTTTGCAGGCATGTTGATGGTGCTGGCTACAGCAGTCTGCAGAGAACAAGCCCGCAGGAGACGTCGTTATTGGGTACACCCGATCTTGAGGCTCAGGGACTCCAAGGGTCAGTTCTGGAGTTTGTATGAGGATTTGCGAGGTCACCCGGATACATTTTTTTTCCTTTACTCATATGTCATATGACCTCCTAAAAAGTGGAGCAAGAATACTATTTTATTTTTTTTTTGCTTAGTTGCATTGCGTTCCGTTTTTGCCGCGCTCATGCATTTCCGGACCGGACAAAATGTGGCATGCAGTATTTTTTCTGTCGTAAGCTGAATGGACTACGCACGTGAGAACTGTAGCCCTTAAAACACATAGGGATACATTGGGATGCATTTTAAGTGCAGGAGCGTACGGATCAGGTCAGCACAGAAAACGGACGTCGTGTGAACGGGCCCTTAGTGTGATGGTTGCAGTCTCATATACCGCTGCTGTCGGAATGAGACCATGGCATTCCCAGCCTCACCCTGCAATGAGATTTTGCAGCTTTCAGGACAACAGCCAGCTGCTTGAGAGTAAGGCCCTGTTAACACCTTTACGTTTTGTCGCGCGTTCAACGCTCTATGAACGCTCTACAAAACGTTAAAGGAAAATATAGTAATTTAAAAAAATATATATATAAATATAGATAGATATAGACATGGATGAAATAGTTAAAAATATGGTGGCTTTTTATTTACACAGAGGCAAGCATTTTTTAATTTTGGATTAGAGCAATTGGAGAATTGGTGTAACAATTTTAAGATATTCTAAGGAAAAGTAAAACTAAGCAAGAAAAATATTTGCACAGAAGTTACTGCAAAAACAGGACATGGCAAGTGTAAAGTAAGGCCTCATTCACACACAACGCAAGAGCAAAATTGTATATACGAGCGTATGTGCACGTATATGCGTGCACTATTTGCATTCCCAGAATGCATAATTCCTAATAGAAACATTAATGAACTGTACGCACATATGCTTGTAAACATGCGTATGCGCGTAAAATACGCAGAAATACGCTGCCCGGACGCATTTCGGTTCCATTTCGCTTTTGCACATTTTTACACTAAGCAAATGTATGGAGCCATTTATTTGCATATGGTACAGTAATGTGAATGAGGCCTAAGCGTGGTAAAAAGGGCTTAATAAGGTTTGCCTAGTCTTTGCTTCCACCAAACCATTTTCCAATCGGATGTATTAGTCATTGGTTTTCATGGATCATTTTTAGCAATCCAACATGGTTTCAATGGAAAATGGAGAACTGTCTGCTGCTAAATCCAGCAGCTTTTTTTTGTGGACGCTGTAGAGGGCTCCAATAGCTGAGGAGAGGAGTTTAGGATGGTGGAAGTGTTTAATTATACACCAGTGGGCCCTCGTTGTCACTTTTTTTCTAACTTTTTATCAATATTTCTAGATGAAAGGTTTTTTT